AATTAAATTGGGGCGCCTGGGTGGCTCAGTTGGTTAAGCAACTGCCTTCGGCTCAGGTCATGATCCTGGAGTCCCAGGATCGAGTCCCGCATCGGGCTCCCTGCTCAGCGAGGAGCCTGCTTCTCCCTCTGACCTTCCCCCCTCTCATGTACTCTCTCTCATTCTCGCTCTCTCAAATAAATAAATAAATCTTTAAAAAAAATTATATTAAAAAAATACAGAGTTGTTTTTTCATTTTCCATAGTAAAGCTAGAATCCTTCATCTGATCAGCAGCAGCGGATTCATTCTCCTTTTTTGACTTCTCTTTTTAGGCTCACATTTCATAGCTTAAGGTCATCCCTAAAAGAAAAGAGAAAACTCTCCTCTGCTCCAGTAAGGAGGAAATAAATTCTTGAACCACCTTATAAGCTTGGCAGGACAGTTTGTACCAACATGACAGTCATAGTCTACCCTTATAAGATAATTAATTCTGGGGGCACCTGTGTGGCTCAGTTGGTTAAGCATCTAACTCTTGATCTCAGCTCAGGTCTTGATCTCAGGGTCATGAATTCAAACCCTGCGTTGGGCTCCATGCTGGGTGTGGAGCCTGCTTAAAAGAAAAGAAAAAGAGGGGGCGCCTGGGTAGTTCAGTTGGTTAAGCGTCTCCCTTCGGCTCGGGTCATTATCCCAGGGTCCTGGGATTGAGCCCCGCATCAGGCTCTCTGCTCAGTGGGGAGCCTGCTTCTCCCTCTGCTGCTCCCCCTGCTTGTGCTCGCTCTCTCTGTCAAATAAATAAATAAAATCTTAAAAAAAAGAGAGAGATAATTAACTCTAGGAAGGAAAAGTAGTTAGGTTTGAATACAGTAAATTTTTGTTTCATTTGGAATTCAGCTTACTGGTTTGGAGGTACCTTTTTTTTTTTTTTTTAAGATTTTATTTATTTATTTGACAGAGCAGGAGAGCACAGGCAGGGGGAGTGGCAGAGGGAGGGGGAGAAGCAGGCAGGGAGCCCAATGTGGGGCTCGATCTCAGGACCCTGGGATCATGACCCGAGCTGAAGGCAGTTGCTTAATTGACTGAGCCACCCAGGCGCCCCTTGGAGGTACTTTCTGCTTTACATTTTTTATTAGACATAAAAGGGTAGTCTAACATTGGGAAATTTTCTGACAGTTTTCCACATATAGGGGTATGCCTATTTCACATATCTAAATTATAAGACTGTACAATGATAATAACACAGCACTGTGAAATTCTGCAGAACTTGCAGGATTGTTTTAAAAATGAAGTATAATTTTATGATCAATATATTTTATTATATTCAGATTTTTAAAAAATTGTTAATTGTTGAATCATGAGTGTGATATTCTCAGGTAACTAGAATAATGCGCTAATGTATTAAATAACACCTTGTTCCCCAGTCATTCTGGAAAGGGGTTTACTTATTTTGGGATATTTTGAAAATAACATTATCTCAGGAGAAGAGCTTGTTTGTTTATCAGTAGGACTCTGAAAGCACAGGTGGAAGGGAGAACCTAATTTTTTTTTTTGTATGAAAGACAGTCTTTCTGTCTAAATGAATTATTTATTTATTTAATTGTGAAAAAAGGTATCTTTGATACTGAAAGTTCTCTATGTGACTTTTGCCTTAATATAATAAAAGTTTGGGTTATAGATTAGAACAACTTGATACATGTGTTGCAATAATGTCTTAAATATTTGAAGGAGCAACAGTAGAACTGCGCCAAAGAAAAAAGCTGAAGTCTTCAGAAAATAAGGAATCTGTCAAAGAAGAGAAAATCAGTGACACTTCAATTCCTGAAAGAGCTCCAAAACGTAAGTTAGATAAATTTGGAGTTTTTGTGCTACTACAAAAATGGCTTTTTATATGCTAGGTATTATATTTTGTATTAATATTTTATCAACTTTTTTTTTTTAAGATTTTATTTATTTGACAGAGAGAGACACAGTGCGAGGGGGAACACAAACGGAGAGTGGGAGAGGGAGAAGCAGGCTTCCCACCGAGCAGGGAGCCTGATGCGGGGCTCGATCCCAGGACCCTGAGATCATGACCTGAGCCGAAGGCAGACGCTTAACGACTGAGCCACCCAGGCGCCCCTTGTATTAATATTTTAAATGTGTATACCTGTTCTGAGATTAATTACATGGTATTATCAGTCAACTTTGGTTTTGCTGTAGAACAAACCCTAAATCTCACTGGCTTACAAAAAACACTTATTTCTGACTAATGTTCCATGTTGTGGCTTCAGGTTGGCTGGTGTAGCTTGATGTGTCATGAAGGAACAGCCCCTACTTGCGACATTTTTTTAAGACAGAGGAAAAGAGCAGGAGAACAGGCAGAGTCATGCCGTGTCTCTTAAATTTTCTGCTGAGCTGGCACTTTGTCACTTGTACTCATATTCTGTTGACCCAAGGAAGTCATATAATCAATCCAGACAGTGAGATGGAGAAATATACCCTGACTACAGGGAAGAGATGGAGAAGTATACCTTGACTACAGGGAAGCGTTGCAAGTCACATGGTAGTGGGCAGAGATGAATAATCTTTTTATAGGAAAGGATAAAATAAGTGGGAATAATAATGTAACATTCTACCACATTCTTTCCTTTTGGTCATAAATATTTACTTTTCTCCCTCAAACAAAATACACTCACTATCTCTCTGGCCCCAAGGAAGATACTCAGTCTTACCCAGTCCTGGCAGCAGTCTTGAGGCCCAAGGTCTTCTTATCTACATCAGGGCCAGGTATGATTCATTCTAGTCCAGATATCTATAAATTAAAAAGGTAAGTTTTGTGCTCTGTGTCAGGGGTCCCCAAGACCACCCCCATGTTTGGTGATTAGCTAGGATTCACAGGTCTCAGAATATTTACAGCAATGACTTATTATAGTGAACAGTACAAAACAAAATCAGCAAAAGGAAAAGACCTAAGGCTAAAATCTGTAAGAAACTAGGCATAAGCTTCGCTGATTCTTTTCCTAATGGAGTCACACAGGATGTGCTTAACTCCTTCAGCATCAAATTGTGACATTTGTTAAGTTTTATCTACCACGGAAGCTCATTAATGACTGTGCAGAGTTGGTTTGTTTTTTTTTCTTTCTCTCTCTCTTTTTTTTTCTTTTAAAGATTTTGTTTATTTAAAGAGAGAGACACAGCAAGAGAGGGAACACAAGCAGAGGGAGTGGGAGAGGGAGAAGCAGGCTTCCTGCAGAGCAGGGAGCCCGATGCGGGGCTTGATCCCAGGACCCTGGGATCATGACCTGGGCCGAAGGCAGACACTTAACGACTGAGCCACCCAGGCGCCCCTCTTTTTCTCCCTTTTTTAAAGATTTTATTCATTTGAGACAGAGAGATATATAGAGAGAGAACATGAGCAGGGGGAGAAGCAGAGGGAGAGGGAGAAGTAGACTCCCCACTGAGCTGAGAGCCTGACGCAGGGCTTGATCCCAGGACCCGGAGACCATGACCTAAGCTGAGGGCAGACGCTTAACCATCCGAGCCACCCAGGCACCCCTTGTGTTTTTTTTTCTTAAGATTGTATTTATTTATTGGGGTGCCTGGGTGGCTCAGTCGTTAAGCGTCTGCCTTCGGCTCAGGTCATGATCCCAGCGTCCTGGGATCAAGCCCCACATTGGGCTCCCTGCTCAGTGGGAAGCCTCCTTCTCCCTCTCCCACTCCCGCTGCTTGTGTTCCCTCTCTCTGTGTCTCTCTCAAATAAAAAATAAATAAAATCTTAAAAAAAAATAAGATTTTATTTATTTATTTGAGAGAGAGAGGGAGAGAGCATGCACGCATGAGCTGGGGGGTGGGGCAGAGGGAGAGGAGGAAGCAGACACGATGCTGAGCAGGGTGCATGACATCACCAAGACCCTGAGATCATGACCCGAGCTAAAGGCAGATGCTTAACGACTGAGCCACCCAGGCGCCCTGGTCCTTCTTTTTCTATTATCCTACTGAACTATATATGAAGATGGCTTTGGAGAACATGCCATCCTTAGGGGCTGAACAGCCTTCTCATTGCTTCCCGCTGAGAGTTGAAGAGAGTTGAAGGCCCATTTATTTTTTTATATATATTTTTTATTTTTTAAAGATTTTGTCAGAGAGAAAGAGAGAGAGAGCACAAGCAGGGGTAGCGGCAGGAGGAGGGAGAAGCAGGCTCCCCTCTGAGCAAGGAGCCCAATGCAGAACTCCATCCCAGGATCCTGGGATTATAACCTGAGCCAAAGGCAGACGCTTAACCGACTGAGCTACCCAAGCGTCCCTGAGGGCCCATTTACATATTTTTTCTCAAATAAGATAAAGGCAGTGGGTTATCTACAGAGCTAGTTCTTGGGGGTAGCAGCAAGAAAATTTTTTGGAAGCTGGAAAAATAATAATCCATATTATGCAGTGATAAATCCTGTGAATAGTTGCAATTTTAATACTACTTTTTTATTACTTTAGGTAACAGCATTGTAAAACAGGATGTTACTACAGTGCCTTGGTTATCAGCTGCATTTGATTACAGGAAAGAGATGAATTTAGAACAGAATTAGCCTATTTGCAAGTAGGAATGAAGAGGAAAAGAGGGAATCCAAAATTTCTGGGACTTGTAGTATTGAGTTAGAACTGTCTATTTTAGCTAATAAAATCAAGAAAAATGAGAAATACTTTGAGCAACAAAGACGATGACTAAGATGAATCCTCAAGGCAATGACTAAATCAGGGGCAAGGCTCTCCCACAGAGTTTGTTAAAAATATATGGATGGATGAAGGTATTTCCTAGAAAATAACACAGGGTGTGGTTCCACAGAAGCCTAATAAGATCAAAATACATGTAGTTAAACCTTTTCAGAGACTCATCTAGAAAAAAAATTGTCAGTACAGTAGTCCCCCCATGCAGTGGTTTCACTTTCCATCATTTCAGTTATCTGTGTTCACCACAGTTTGGAAGCAGATAATCCGCTTTCTGATGTGTTGTCAGAAAGTTAATAGTAGTGTAACATACTTCATGGTACCTATGTCATTCTCCTTACTTTATCTCATCACTACCATTTCACATCATTACAAGGAATAGGATGAGTACAGTACAGTAAGATATTTTGAGAGAGAGAGAGAGAGACTGTGTTCCCATAACTTCTATTACAACATATTGTTATAGTTGTTGTATTTTATTATTAGTTATTGTTAATCTCTCACTGTGTCTATAAATTAAACTTTATGACAGGTATGTATGTATCGGAAAAAGCATAGTGTATCTAGGGTTCAGTACTATCCACAGTTTCAGGCATCCACTAAGGATCTCGGAACACATCCCCCGCACACAAGGCAGGAGAGGACTTCTGTATAGTTGTTGGAACATGGATGGAGCTGACTAGAATCAAGTAGGTAAAAAGCTGACAAAATTGTTCGTTTCTTTGCAGGAATAAGTAATTTAATTTTTAAAAATTAAGGTAGAGGCATGCCTCCTTTTATTTTTTGCAGATATCTTTTTTTTTTTTTTTAATGAACTGAAGATTAGTGGCAACCCTGTGTCGAGCAAGGCTAGCAGCACCATTTTCCAACCGCATTTGCTCATTTCCTATCTCTGTGTTATATTTTGGTAATTCTCGCAGTAGTTCAAACTTTATCATTATAATATGTTGTGGTGATCTGTGGTCTATGATTATGATTCACTGACAGCTCAGGTGATGGTTAGCATACTTTAGCAATAAACTCTTTTTAAAATAAGATATGTATGGGTTTTTTTTGGACATAATGTTACAGTGTAGTATAAACTTAACTTTTATATAACCAGTAAACCAAAAAATTCACTTAATTCGCTTATGGTAATATCTGCTTTATTGCAGTGGTGTGGAACTGAACCTGTAATATCTCTGAGGTATACCTGTATAATTAGCTTACAGTAAAATGCACAGAATCTTAGGCATTTAATTAAATGAGTTTTGACACTGGAATGCAGCTGAAACAAGATACAGAACATTTCTATTATCCCCGAAAGTTTCTTTATATCCTCTTGAAGATTTTCCCTGTACCCCCCCCCCCAAGACAACCACTCTTCTTTTTTTAAAAGATTTTATATATTTATTTGTCAGAGAGATTGAGAGCACAAGCAGAGGGAACAGCAGGCAGAGGGAGAAGCAGGCTCCCCGTTGAGCAGGGAGCCCGATGTGGGGCTCCATCCCAGACCCCGGGATCATGACCCGAGCCGAAGGCAGACCCTTAACCAACTGAGCCACCCAGGCGTCCCAACATCCACTCTTCTTATTAATTCGTTTTGCATGTCGTAGAATTTCGTATAAATGGAATCATACAACATGTATGCTTTTGTGTCTGGATTTTTTCACTTAGCTCGGCATGTTATCCTTTAAAAATATAATCATTCTGAGATTCATTCATGTTGCTGTAATTTTTTATCTATTCTCTTCTTGTTGGACATTTGAGTAATTTTCAGTATTTAGCTATTATGAATAAGGCTTTATGAACATAGTTCTACAGATCTTTTTGTGGACGTTTGTTTTTATTTCTGTTAAGTAAATAAGAGAATTGCCTGCTAAGTTTTTGAGAGAGATGTACTGTTAAAAGAACTGTCAACCTAGATTAAAAAGGATATAACTATTCAGGTCTTAAAATGATATATACATGCAGGAAACAAGCTGAATAAGCTGCTCTTAGGGTGTCTTTCTTGAGAAGCAGTGAGTGTGTTTTGCCTTTGGGAGGGAAGTGAGTATTTGTGAGGAATGGGGAAGACCCTGGTAGACTCTTTTATTGTTTGCAAATGTTTGCTCCCTTCCCTAAAGTGAATTATTCATTTCTTCCCATTGCCATGTGATTTGGAGTGTGTCTCTGAAGCAGTGTGTACTTTGCTCCCTCATTGTCAGGCTTGTTGATGTGACTTGCCTAGACTAATGGAATGTCTGTGGAAGCAACACTGTACTAGTTTTGACCAGAAACTATAAGAGGCATTGTATGATCTGCCTGTTCTGCTTTTTTTTTTTTTTTTTAAGATTTTATTTATTCATTTGACTGAGAAAGAGAGAGAGCACAAGCAAGAGGAGTGGCAGGCAGAGGGAGAGGGAGAAGCAAGCTCCCTGCGGGGAGCCTGACTCGGGGCTCCATCCCAGGACCCTGAGATCATAACCTGAGCCAAAGGCAGGTGCTTAACAGACTGGACCACCCAGGTGTCCTGTTCTCCTGCTCTTATCCTCTGTCATGAGAATAGCTACTGGCCCCAATCTGGGACTCTGAAGAAGATAGAAGAGCCACAGCTAATCTGAAGTCTGAAATTGGGTGGAGAGTCACTGCAGACCCAAAACCCACAAGTAGCATAAGTGAGAAATAAACCTGTATTTTGTAAGCCACTAATAGTTTGGGATAACTTTTTTTTTATCATAGTGAAGCTTACTAATAGAGTGGTCATTTAAAACATTTTGGAAAATACAATACAAGAAAGATAATTAAACAATCTAGAGCTAACTACTGTAAAATAGTATTTTCCCCCTGAATACAAAAATATTTTTAGGGTAGAAAATGTGGAAAATAGAGAAAAGTATAATAAAAATAAAATGTATAAATAATTCCAATAGAACTACTTTTAAAAGTTTTGGCAAGTATTGCTTATATTTTTTTCAGTGCACTTATACTTTACTTTTTTTTTTTACTTTGTGAAATTGAATCCTACGTTTCTTTTCCTAACATGTCCTTAGCTTCTTCCTTTGCTTTAAATATTACTTAACTATGCCCTGTATTATTGGTATTGATATTTATGTAGTGCTCTTTTTTTCTTATTCCATCTTTGACTCTTCACAAAAAACTTTGAAAAAAACATATTTAGTATTAAGGTAAGGCATTTATATGTAGGATTTGGTTTACATACTTTTTATAATAGCCACTGATAATTAGGATTAATTTACCATTATCTAAGACTTAATGAAAAAAAAACAACAGGAAAACATACACTTTCAGAAACTTTGAAGCACTTTTGCCAGACTGCCACCATTGATAAGTTTTTTTTACCAGTTTTTTTAGTTCATATTGTGTCAACATTGCTTTAGTTAACTATCTTATATATTTTTGCATGTATGCTTCTGTATTTCAACAATAATAGCTAGTATTTACTGAGCTCTTACTATGTGCCAGGCCAAATGCTTTACACATGCTATTTTTTTTTTTTTTTAGATTTTTTTTTATTTATTTATTTGAGACAGAGAGAATGAGAGAGACAGAGAGCACACGAGAGGGGGGAGGGTCAGAGGGAGAAGCAGGCTCCCCGCCGAGCAGGGAGCCCGATGCGGGACTTGATCCCGGGACTCCAGGATCATGACCTGAGCCGAAGGCAGTCGCTTAACCAACTGAGCCACCCAGGCGCCCTACACATGCCATTGAAAACAGTAATTTTAAAACAATTTTATCCTACTGATAATAATATTTGATTTTTGGGTACTGTTTTTCAAGCATTTTGAATGTAATTCTTACTGCCTTAGTGATATCTAACTACTTAGTCTATTTAATGTCTCTAGTGTTCCATGAAAACTAATATTTATTAAATAATATTTTGAAAATGGCTAAGATTTTAGTTTAGCTAAGCTCATAAATCAGCAAGTTGAGTTTTACGGACCTGTCAGTCATTCGGTAATAGAACATTGGGCTTTGGGCCCTTAGGCCTGTGCTTATTATACCTAATAGCTAGAGTAGAGCAGGACTAAATCACCCTGTGTGTAGAAAATTCACATGTATTTTATATTATTTCATCAAGAAGTAGTTACATATATTTAACAGTTGCATATGATGTTTTAAATACATAATCATAAAAAATCATTGAATTATATATACTTTAAGTGGCTGTAATCTATAGTATGTAAATTATTCCTCAATAAAGAAAAAAATTCCTTGATAAGGAAAAGCTGTTGATAGTAATTCTGAATGAGCCTGTATTTTTTCTTTAGATGTTTGTTAGTACATTCCTTTTATTCTTTCTTTTGATTAATAGACTTTAATTTTTGAAATCTTTTTTGATTTACAGAAGAATTGGACAGATAGTGCAGAGTTACCTTCTTACACCCTCCCTCTGCCCACACACAGAGTTTTTCCTATTATTAACATTTTATATTAGTATGGTATTTTTGTTATAGTTAATGAACCAATATTATTGGTATATTAATACATTATTTTTAAATAAGATCCATACTTTATTCAGATTTGCTTAGTTATTACCTAATGTCCTTTTTCTATTCCAGGATCCTACGTGACATTTAGTTGGCATGTCTCCTTAGACTCTTCTTGGGTGTGGCAGTTTTTTAGGTTTTTCTTGTTTTTAGTGACCTTGACAGTTTTGAGGAATACTGGTCAGGTATATTTAGGATGTCCTTCTATTAGAATTTGTCTGCTGTTTTTCTCATTAGACTGGGGTTATAGGTTTTGGGGAGGAAGAACACAGAGTTAGAATGTCATTTTCCTCACATCTTATCAAGGGTACATACTACCTTTTGATTACTTTTTAAAAATAGAAGTGCATTAATATAAATATCATCTACATCTGATTACTTTTAATATGCTTTTTCAGATGTATTATTTCAGCGCTTTGCAAAGATTTTCATTGGCTGTCTTGCAGCAGTTACTAGTGGTATGATGTATGCTCTCTATTTATCAGCATACCATGAACGGAAATTCTGGTTTTCCAACAGGCAGGTAAGAAGAAAGAATTTTGAGCATATGGAAGTTGTTTTAGTATTTAATTTTAATCTAAGTAATGTGTTTTTCCCAGGGAGCCAAAATATATGTGTGATAAGTATGACAAGTGCTTTCTTATTTACAGGCATTAGAAACAAAATGGTGCAGGAGCTATTTTGAGAACACAGTCACAGCATCAACCTTGAAAAATTTAATACAATGTATTTCCAGGCCATGGAATAGAAACTATGAGGGTGCTTTCCTTCATGCAACTAATTTATCAGGGGCTTTTGATGACAGTGAAATGTTACGGAGTTTAGTCACACTTTGAGTAGTTTTGGTAGTTTACGTAGTTTACATTTCAGAAACAATCTGTTGAAGTTTCAGCAGTAAAATATTTTAATTTTTAGATTACATGATTAGAATGTTTTGGGGGCATGGAAATGATTAACATGCATGACAGTATTTATTAAGATGTCTCTTCATATTAGTATGTTTAATGTCTGGTTTTAAATCATGTGTATTCCACAGACCCTTTAGTCACCATAGTTACTTACATAATTCATAATTTAGCCTTTGAGTAAATTTGTTCTCAGACTTCCCTTCACAATCAGATACATCTTTCACGCATTAATAAGGTTCACAGTGTTATCACTTGACTCTAAAGAGTTTTGTTTTCTTTTTTAGTCCAAACTGTTTTGTTGTTCTTATTTTTGAGCAGTAGTCAAGCCAACTGACTGTTTTTAAGCCATTGATTGACCTAATCCCACCAAAACATTTAGCTGAATAATTACCTGTATTGATTTGACAAAAGCTATTACTATAGCATATCCTATTTCCTTGAAAATTTTATGCATATTAATAACTATTAGTAGTTCTCAATACTGGATGTACAATAGAATCATCTGATGAGCTTTTAAAAAGCTCACAGATTCTTAGGTGGGGTAGCAGGGAATGTCTAGGATCAGTGTTTCAAAATATGTCCAAGCAATTCTGTTGTGTAGGCAGAACTGAGAACAACCAAAGGTTTAAAAATAATAGAAGGCATGCATCAAAAAACACTGTGTTTTTTAAAACCCTGTGTGATTCAGGAACATTGACTTTACCTGGGAGCTTTTTCAGAATTGCAGATTCTCAGGCCCCACTTTAGAATCAGAATCTAATCAGAGATCTTTTCTAGGAGTTTCATATGCACATTAAATTTGAGAAGCATTGATCAAAAGTTCACATCTTTGAAATCTTAGAAAGAAACGAATGTTTCCATTCATAAAGAATCATTTTAAGGAAATTTATTTATCAGATTTTTGTTGTTAAGGAAACTTATTTCGATTAATAAGCTCTAAATGAGGAAAAAAAATTCACTGGTCAAATAGATCTAGGAAAGATTTCCTCTTGGAGATTCACAGTTGCATAAGGTATACTGAAACTCTGAGAAGTCTTACAATAAAGAAACCCATTAATTTTCTTTAATGCTGTCTTTGCGTAACTTATTTAACTATAGAACTCTTTAGGTAATTCCCATTTATGTCTTAGGAAATTCTGTTGACCAAACTTAAGAAAAACTGCTCTGATACCTATTGTTTTGTATTAATTGATAAATATGCATGAAAATAAAGGAGTTTCATTTTCAGAGACTGTAGATTTATAAAAGCTTGATTTGTCATGAAATGTACAAGGTTTTTCAGTGTTTTTGAATTACGTATATTCTTGGTTCTGTATAGCCCAATTTTTTTATAATAAAAATTTTTAAAAGATTTATTTTTAAAGAGTGAGAGAAAGAGAGAGCATGAGTGTGGGGGGGAGGAGCCAAGGGAGAGAATCTCATACAGACTCCCTGCTGAGTGTGGAGCCTGATGTGGGAGGCTCTCAGGAGCCACGACCCTGAGATCATGACCTGAGCTGAAATCAAGAGTTGGATGCTCAACTGATTAAGCCATGCAAGCATCCTGTATAGCCCAATTTTAGGAACTTAAGATTTATATTTCTGAAAGTTCTTTTGAAAAGCACTGATTAGGTATCTGTTGCTCTGGAAAAGAGTTAAGGGCTTACAGTTCTGGATATATAAGGAAGTGGATAAGCAATAGAAAATACTGATTTCTTCTTAAACTTCTTTTTTTATTATGGACTTTAACACCTCAACCATCATTTTTTATTCTTGCTATCCTTAGGGCATTTTTTCTGGTTTTCCTTCTAGATTTTCCTTATATATGACTTATGAGCTACAATCCATTTTTTTTTTAAAGATTTTATTTATTTATTTGACAGAGAGAGACACAGCGAGAGAGGGAACACAAGCAGGGGGAGTGGCTTTCCGAGGAGCAGGGAGCCTGATGTGGGCTCGATCCCAGGACCCTGGGATCATGACTTGAGCCGAAGGCAGACGCTTAACGACTGAGCCACCCAGGCGCCCCTACAATCCATTTTAAACCTTAGGTGTTTCTTTCTTTTTTTTTTTCGATTGATTTATTTGAGAGAGAGAGAGTGCACGTATGAGCAGGGGGAGGGGCAAAGGGAGAGGGAGAGAATCTCAAGCAGACTCCGCTGAGCACAGAGCCTGATGCAGAGCTTAGTCTTAGGATCCTCAGATCATGACCCAAGCCAAAATCAAGAGTTGGACACTTAACTGACTGAGCCACCGAGGTGCCCCAAACCTTAGGTGTTTCATTAAAATATTGCCCGATTATTGAAAAGTTTAACCTCCTTAATGTGACCACTAGTGATTAAAGGAAAATTCAAACATGTCTTTGAATAAAAGGATAAGTAAATAGCATTAATTTAGAAGATGAGGAGAAAGAAGATTGCATTTGAAATTTAGTATACTGGTATTTGAATAACCATTTCATTTTCTTTTAGGAGCTTGAACGAGAAATCACATTTCAAGGTGACAGTGCCATTTATTACTCTTATTATAAAGATATGTTAAAAGCGCCCTCATTTGAAAGAGGTATGATAACCACATTTGTATTTTTTATTTTTTTTAAATTAAACTCTATCCCCAACATAGGGCTCAAACTCAGGACCCTGAGATCAAGAGTTGCATGTTCTACCAACTGAGCCAGCTAGGTGCCCCCCACATTTGTATTTTTTTGAGAGAGAGAGAGAGAGAGCACGAGAGGGGGGAGGGTCAGAGGGAGAAGCAGACTCCCCGCTGAGCAGGGAGCCCAATGTGGGACTGGATCCTGGGATTCAAGGATCATGACCTGAGCTGAAGGCAGTTGCTTAACCACCTGAGTCACCCAGGCGCCCCTATACATTTGTATTTTTAATAACAACATTTTTCTAAAATAAAACATTGTTCTACTATGTGGGAGCCCTTTAATGTGGAGATTTGTCTTAGAATATAAATATTATTCTTTCTTATACTTAATAAAAACATAGGAAAAATGCACAGTGTACTATACTTTGAGATTTTTAATAATTTAAAATATTTAATGCCTCTGAGTGACATGTTTAATTATTGTAAAAGCAGAATAAATAATATGGAGAAAAATTTCTCTGTCTTTAGGTGTTTATGAATTGACACACAATAACAAAACTGTATCTCTGAAGACTATAAATGCAGTGCAGCAAATGTCTCTATATCCAGAACTCATCGCCAGTGTTTTATATCAAGCAACTGGTAGCAATGTATGTTTTCTTTTGACTTTAATATTTATTTTCTTACATTGTGCAAATAATTAAAATTATTTAATGTCCTATTATCTCCTCTTCCTTTTTTTTTTTTACAATTAGGAGATTATTGAGCCAGTATATTTCTACATTGGCATTGTTTTTGGATTGCAAGGAATATATGTTACTGCTTTATTTGTTACAAGTTGGCTTATGAGTGGAACATGGCTAGCAGGAATGCTTACTGTTGCATGGTTCATTATTAACAGGTAAGAAGTGTTTTTTGAATTAAATTTTACAGTTTTGTTTTATGGCTGTGGTATTTGGTTCTAAAAATGCCACCCCCCAAATATTCCAAACCCCATCCCCTCTGTGAATCTGATGAGATATCATTCCTGTGATTGTTATGTTAAATGGCACCATTGACCTTAAGGTAGGAAGATTACCTGGTGGACCTGATCTAATGAACCGTATGAGCCCTTAAAGGTGGAGATCTTTCTACACCTGGTGCACAAGGGGAGGTCAGAGATAGTTGAAGCATGAGATGGATTGCTGTGCTGTTGCTGGTGTGAAGTGAGGAGGAAATGAATTTTGGCAGCAACCAGGGAGCCGGTGAGAGGACTGCAAGCCCTGATGAGAAGAGCAGCCCTGGCTGAAGTTTTGATTTTAGCTTAGGGAGACCCTGACCACAATATTCACACATACTGGGGTAGGTTTGTGAGCTAATAAATTTATGTTGTTTTAAGGCTATACATGTGTGGGGTGCCTGGGTGGCTCAGATGGTTGAGCGTCTGCCTTCGGCTCAGGTCATGATCCCAGGGTCCTGGGATCGAGTCCCGCATCGGGCTCTCTGCTCCTTGGGAGCCTGCTTCTCCCTCTGCCTCTCTCTCTGTCTCTCATGAATAAATAAATAAAAATCTTAAAAAAAAAAAAAAAGCCTATACATGTGTGGTCATTTGTCATGCAATTGAAGAATAATACACCTACCTTATATCTCTCTTTTTTCAGACATAGTAACATTGGCATACATGGATGTGCCTCTTCTTTCCTCTTTTATTTAAAACTGATGACACGATTTCATGAAAAGAAGGAAGAGGCATCAGATATATCACTATTAAGTTAATCACTACAGATAAGGATTCTGTATTAATCTATCACAGAGTGCTTTGAGTTAATAAACCCATTCCTTTTGGTAATCAAAGCAGCCTCAGTTCTTTAATTGTGAGTAAAAAGAGCAGGCAGTGGGTCTTCTTCGAAATGGAGGGCTGATTTGAGACATAAAAATTTTCTTGGCATTGGTCAGTGTCAAAAGTTTAGTTTTGAAGGGTGGATATTCTTTCTTTCCATAACACTTTTCTCCCCTAACACTTACCATGACTAAATTTTTAAAGATGAAACATTCTCTTACAACATTTTCTTTGGCAATTGCCAAATAAAAAATATGCTACTTTCAAATTATTGAGACTCAGCATTAAGGGCTATAATCTCTTACTGGGCTTTGTTTATATTTAGAGTCACATGCTGCCAGTAATTTGATATAAAGGATATTTTATTTATTTATTTTTAAAGATTTTATTTATTTATTTGAGAGCGAGACACAGCGAGAGAGGGAACACAAGCAAGGGGAGTGGGAGAGGGAGAGGGAGAAGCAGGCTTCCCGCTGAGCAGGGAGCCTGATGTGGGGCTCGATCCCAGGATCCTGGGACCATGACCTGAGCCAAAGGCAGACGCTTAACGACTGAGACACCCAGGTGCCCCATAAATATAAAGGATATTTAAAAAATCTTCCTTAAGGGCACCTGGGTGGCTCAGTCGGTTAAGCGTCCGACTCTTGATTTCAGCTCAGGTCATGATCTCAGGGTCATGAGATTGAGCCCTGCTTTGGCCTCTGTGCTTGGTGTGGAGCCTGCGTAAGATTCTCTCTCTCCCTCTGCCCCTCCCCATCCCAGTTGCACACTCTCTCTCCAAAAAAAAAAAAAACTTCCTTAGAAGTTTTCAAATACAGTTGTTCAGCTTTATGGATCAAACATATTTAATCTTTTTCTTTAAAAAAATTATTTTTATTATTTTTTTAAATGTTTTAAAAGATTTATCCATTTGAGAGAGAGAGAGAAAGAGCACAAGTGGAGGTGAGGGAGAGCAGCAGAGGCAGAGGGAGAAGCAGGCTCCCTGCTGAGCAAGGAGCCCGATGTGGGGCTCGATCCCAGGACCCCGAGATCATGACACGAGCCAAAGGCAAACGCCCAACCAACTGAGCCACCTAGGCAACCCCCCCCAATTTTTTTAAGTAAGCTCTATGGCCAATATGAGGCTTGAACTCAAGACTGAGATCAAGAGTCCAGTGCTCTGTTGACTGAGTCAGCCAGGTGCTCCTCCTTAATTCTCTTTAAATCCTCTATAATTGCTTTTTTTGTGGTTGAAGAGACGGAGTTAGTTGTCCTACAGAATGTCCCACCTTGCGGATTTCTTTTGTTGTTTCGTTGTGGTGTCATCTAGCTTTTCCCTCTATTCTTTGTGTTTCTATAACCTGGAAGTTATATCAAAGGCTTGATGAACTCAAGATAGCAATTCTAGTTTGAATATATCATAGATGATGTGTTTTTCATGTTCCATGATACTGAAAGTTACGTGGTATTTATGTGGCCTACCCCTAGTGAGTCTGAGATTGACTGCTGGTTTGGGGGATGACAGATTTCTTCATTGAATAGTATGACTAGAAAATAATTTGTGTGGTGTTTTAGGGTACCAAATGAATGTCCTTTTCAACATTAACCATTTACCTAAGGGTTGTAATTCCAGTTGCTAATCTTGGCTGAAATTAGTGATTACATTAGGGTTTATTAAATTATATTTTTCTTTTTTTAAAGATTTATTTATTTATTTTAGAGAGTGTGTGCACATGAGTGGAGGAGGGGCAGAGAAAGAGAGAAAAGGGAAGCTGACTCCCCACCGAGCTGGGAGCCCAACTTAGGGCTCAGTTCTAGGACCCCAAGATCATGACCTGAGCCAAAACCAAGAGTTGGACACTTAACCAACTGAGCCAAACAGGTGCCCCTTAAATTACATTTTTCTATTTTCATTAGCTACATTCTTCATTCTTCAAAGGTAGAATTTTTCTTTATTTTCTTTATTTTTTTTAAGTAGGCTCCATCCTCAGCACAGGGCTTGAACTCACAACCCTGAGATCAAGAATTGGGTGCTCTACCAACTGAGCCACCTAGGTATCCCTAGAGTATTCATCCCTAGACTATGTCTTTATTAACCAGTGTTCTTTGGTTACCTTTAAATTCAGTTACTATTAGAAAGTCAGAACAAATGCTTAATTTCACTTTACCCATTTCTAAGAAATTGTTTTTTTTTTTTTTAAAGATTTTTTTTTTTTAGGGGCGCCTGGGTGGCTCAGTTGGTTAAGCGACTGCCTTTGGCTCAGGTCATGATCCCGGAGTCCCGGGATCGAGCCCCGCATCGGGCTCCCTGCTCGGCGGGGGGTCTGCTTCTCCCTCTAACCCTTCCCCCTCTTGCGCTCTCTCTCTCACTCTCTCTCTAATAAATAAATTTAAAAAAAAAAATCTTTTTTTTTTTTTTAAGATTTTATTTATTTATTTGAGAGAGAGAGAATGAGAGTGAGTACATGAGAGGGGGGAGGGTCAGAGGGAGAAGCAGACCCCCCGCCGAGCAGGGAGCCCGATGCGGGGCTCGATCCCGGGACTCCGGGATCATGACCTGAGCCGAAGGCAGTCGCTTAACCAACTGAGCCACCCAGGCGCCCTCTAAGAAATTGTTTAATAGCTGTCTCAGATAGTGATAAAACAAACTTTCTGGTGTTCTCTTTTTTTAAAAATATACTTTTAATATATATATATATAATACATTTTATATTACATTTGTGTGTGTGTGTGTGTGTATATAATTTTATTTATTTATTTATTTTTAAAGTAGGCTTCTACACTCAACATGTGGCTTGAACTCACAACCTTGAGATTTAGAGTTGTGTGCTTTGCTGACTGAGCCAGTCAGGTGCCTCACTGGTATTCTCTTTTTTAAGCATGTTTTTCTCCTTTGGGATTTTCATTGATTCAGTAGGGCTAAATCCATTACCATCATTTTCGTTGCTCAAATTGTCACAACTTTGGTTAATACAAGTCCTTTCAGGCTAACTGCTGAGTTCTTTTAACACATCTTCATTAACCTTTGAAAGCTTTCTTGTTTTCTGGCTCAACAAGGTAAGCAGGCTCACCTTATACATTCCCTGTGAAAGATTTGGAATTAGCCACTTCTCTATGGAGCTTTAGTTCCTTTTAGTATATTATTAGAGAATCTGGTATAGATGCTAGGGGGATAAGATGATTTCTTGTTACATCAGAAAAGTGCTTGCTAGAGAATATTTTAAGTTGCCATGTACTTTCTAAAATTTTATTAGGATTGATTGTTAGAAATTTAATAGCCCACTCAAAGTATTTCAGAACTCATAGACTAGGTCTAGGAGGTCTTGCTTTTTAGAATGAAATCTATTTAGTACAAAACTGGCATTATTTACAATAATAAAAGGATGACTTTCTTGATTATGTGATGTGTTAGTTATTGCTGCATACCAAATCAGCCTAAAACTTAACAGCTTAAAACAATAAACGTGTCAGTTTCTGATGGTAAAGAATCCACAGTGGCTTAACTGGGTGGTTCTGGTTCAGGGCTTGTTATTGAGGGTGCAGTCAAGAGTTGTTTAGGGCAGGGTACCTGGGTGGCTCAGATGGCTGAGCATCTGCCTTCGGCTCAGGGATCAAGACCCACATCGGGCTCCCTGCTAAGCGGGGAGCCTGCTTCTCCCTCTTCCTCTGCTGTTCCCCCTGTTTGTGCTCTCTCGCTCTCTCTGTCAAATAAATAAATAAAATCTTAAAAAAAGTTGTTTAGGGCTATAATCACCTGAAGGCTTGACTGGCATGAACCATCTACTTCCAAGCTCATTCATGTGACTTTTTCCAAGAAGCCTCAGTTATTTGCTGGTTGTTGGCCTGGAAGGCCTTAGTTTCTCATCACATGAACCTCACCATAGAGCTGCTCACAATTTGGCTGCTGATTTTCTTTAGAGTGAGTGATCCAAAAGACTGGAGTGAGTGTGCCATAGTGGAAGTGAGATCTCTTTTATAACCTAATACCAGAAATGTTATGACCTTACTCTGCCATATTCTATTGATCATGCACTGACTTCGGTGCATTGTGGAAAGTAACTATACAGGGTGTTAATACATTGCAGACCATCTTGGAGACTGGC